CATTTTTAGCGCCTTTTTGCTTGTTAATTTTTTTAATAAATCTTTATGTTGTAAAATTTCACATCAAATAGTTGAATCTAAAAATAAAAAGTGCAAGGCTTGGCCTTCGTGAAAAGTGTTTTTTACTGAATAATGTGTTGTGTTTTTATAGCTAAACACCAATTTGTGGTGAATTGAAAATAGAAATGTAAAATGTAGGGTAAAACAGCTGATCTGTTACTTGAATAATTTGTCCAAATCGTCTGTTTTAGCCCAAAGTTCGCGATTCAGTTTTCAATTCATTATTCAGTTTAGTGAATAACCCCAGTTTGTAGAATAATGTGACAGCGAATCTTAACTTCTGAACATAATAGTATAACATATCACCAGTATGTCGTTTAAATGTAACAATGCGATTTTATCAATAAAACGCATGACAAGACATGTTATCTGGAATTTAATTTTGCCTAGAATGTTGATTTCTTGAAAAATATGTACATAGATGGTATTCTCCACCCTTTGCTACACATTTCAGTGCTAGAGGCACAGTACATATATACATATTCTATGAATAGACGTTCAGTGTGCCTTTTTGGCTTTGTAAAATGCTAAACACTTTTTTTCTCTTGGGAAGGAATTTTAGAAAGCTCGACAAATTGGTGGGAAGTTTTTTCAAAGATTATGATCTCATTGCAGAAACTTTGCAATATGGGCACAGAGCAGGACTGTCCTGAAAGCTGTACACAGACATGGGATGGTGAATGAGTTTTGTGTTTTGTGTATATGCTTTCTGTTAGGCAACATCTATTCAGTCCACATCTGATTAAAGCAAACTCTGTCACCCTCCCCTGCAACATTAGTAATTCATATTGACTAATGGAATTTCACTGACATTCCAGCCCAGCCAAATATATACTGAGACGCCAGTGATGGCTGCAGGGAATTGGCTCTGTCTATGGAGGGTGGCGCGGCCTCGCGGGACCTTCCATAGACCTCAATGCTGTGTTCTCTCACGTGCGTGAGAGTACAGCTGTGATGTTGCCTCCTGACGATGAAGCACCAGAAGCAGAAGAGGACTGGACCAAAGAAGTTGGTATCGCACACAAGGGATGGGTTGAGGTAAGTAAAACTAACCTTAGCCTGCCTCCCTCCCCCCACAACCAGACGTTCAAAGGCGATGTCATCGTTGTGGGTCTTTGCAAATAATGCAAAGTCTCCAGACAGTGACAGTGTCACTCTAAGCCTTAATTGACTAGTTACATAGTAAATAAACACAGACAGATTTTACTGGCATAGTGTGCAAACCTACTTCACCAGATAACTCTAGGTCAGTGAAACTATGTCCCCCAGACGTTGAAGGCATACAACTCCCAAAATGATTTGAATGGTGTATATGATCAGAGAATCATTGGAGTTGTAGTTCAGCAACATCTGGGGGCCAGAGTTTGCAATGCTTTCTCCTGCCAACGTCAGTACCTGGTGAATCAGGAGGGGAGAAAAGTGGGTGGGCCAGTGATGTGATTGTGTCACTGGTGCCGTCCAAAGGGGCTGACCCACTCAGATAGGTTGCAAGTTGCAACCCGAAGAATTGGCGGGTCAGCCTTGTGGGATGCAAGCCAGACTGTCTGTCAATCATCCAGGCCAGCCCAGTGAGAGTAGGACATGCAGAGGGCACTCTCGCTACACTTTTTTGGGACAGTTTCTTGGTGTCTCCCTAAAAGTGAAACACCAGGGAACCAAGTCAGGATGGCGGTGAAGGACCCACAATTTGGGACTATCATGCCAAAATCAGGTATATTGGCAGGAATGCTGCTCTACATTTATGAGGCTAATCAGGTGGGGGTCTCATACCAGCTGTATTTCACAACTCCTAATTGCCCTGGGTTTGACAGGACCATCCCGATTTGAGGTTCATGTCCCACCAGGTTACTTCTTTGGTGTTCCACATCATTTCAGACACATATATGATATGACAACCCAGGCTATCTACATTTGACTAACTATAAAGAAGATTAAGAACATGCAGGGTCCCTTTAGTAGAATCACTGAGACAATATATCAAAGCAGGAAGGTGGTTACTTTTATAGAGTATATCAAGATCTGGGAAAAAATCCAAGCATTGTGGAGGTGCAGTTGTTTCCCCTATTTTAGCATCTTCTTATAGGATTTTGGATTTATTTCAGCTGGGATTTAACAAGGGGCTCTAAAAGTTCAAATGGCATCCCTCACATACCCAGTAAACCTCTTTCTGGCAGATTATCCTTATATCTTATGTCAGATATCATTTTCATTACAGCAGTCTCAAGCCAAGACCCACGGTTATGTCTGAAGCCAAAGATTTAATCCTGATAGTTAAGCATGTCTTTTTTCCAATCCATTAACAGAATCTACCCTTACTTTCAGCTGAAGTAACCTTGAAGTATTGCATATCTATAGCTACTAGACTTGTAAATATGTTTATTTCTTCATTCATAGTTTTCAAGAAATTGGTTCTTAGTCCAACATCAAGGAAGAAATTTGCCAGAATCTGGTCATAACAGCAGATATATGACCTTTTTGGAAAGAAACTAAAATTGAACAGTTCAAGACCATTCAAGTTCAATGGTCTCACATTTTGGATGTTGTAATCAAGGTTACCACATTCATCATGTATGAAGTCTACAGGAACTTCTCACATGAGTCTTCTGTTTGCCCCATGGAGCTAGCAAGTTGAAGCCAAACCAGAAAATTTGAGTAGTGCTGCCTTTATACTTTCTGTGGACGCTAACTGGTTATTGGCTTCTAACTGATTTGCTCTTTATATAAGTGGTATTATTATCTGGTGTTTAAAACATAGGCAAATAAAGAAAGTTACTGTGTCATCTAAGTACATATTGGCACACAGCTGATCAAGTATGCGTGTTTCGTGTGCTTCTTTCTAAACAAAGTGTTCAGGCCAAATGCATTAGAACTACTACTATTACCTAAACAAGCTGAGAGTGATGGAAGTTGCAGACTAGAAAATGTGGACAAGGCCAAGAACACGTCATAAAATATATTCTAATGCTAATGTTGATAAGCCTCACTAACTTCCTGTCACATCATGCCTTGTTCTGCGGATCAGTCTGGTGATGGCTTCTGGTATCCAGTACTCTTTTTACAATTCTTGTTTAGTTTTTCTTGGTTTTTTGGTTTCCTATTCCATGTCTGGTTTTCATTATGCTGGGTTTTCTGGGTTCATTCCATTATTCCGTCCCTGGAATTCCCAGTCTCCTGGACTCATTTATATGTTTGTTTTATGTTGCCACAACCGTTTGTTTTCCATTTTCCTTTTGTTCAGTCTGGACCTGCAGCAGTGTTTCAAGTCCCTGCCCTTTCTTGCAGGTAAGTGCTATTGTGGTTTAGTATGGTTCTTTTAGCGAACATTAGGCAGTGTAGGACCTGCCAGATATGGGGTACATTAGCGCTGTGGCAGGCTTATGCAATGTATGATCATATAATGTAACTAAATCCCCATACTTTTCATATATAGTGCTTAGTTATGTCTCCTCTTGTTTTGCCTATCATATCTTGTCTTGTTTTAGTTTGTATTCCCAGTCCATGTACAGTCCTGTCCGGCCCCTGTTTAGTTAATGTTCCCTTATGTATTGTGTACATGTTCTGGGTTTAGCTTCCTATCCTTCTCTGGTTCTGGGTTCTACTAGTTCTGTCTTGTTTTCATGTTTGGTGACTATCCTAACCTTGCCTTGTTTCTGTACTGGATACATGTCTGCTGCAGAGCCCCCATATCCAGTTCCTGGGAGGTCTGCATATCAAGCTCCTAGTTCCTGGAATCCGCTGTAGCTGCATCAGCGTTCTGGTATGTGGCCGCGCAAAAGCTGGTGCTCAACGCCCGAGGACGTGTGGTTACACTGCACCAGGCCCTGATAGTCCATTACCACGCTGAGACTCCCAACTTCTCATCAGGCACTCAGGGGTCCCGGTTTCCATACCGCCACCCGTGACACTTCCCTAATCCTAAAAGTAACTTCTTACTTAGTATATGGTCTTCTTGACATAGCATATTGTTTTTGGTTTTCAATTATGGTTGGTTCCTTTTGTATTTTACCGTAACTACCAGTGGTATGGTAAATCAGTTTTGTCCTTGGTTATCTCTTTGTAACTACCAGCAGTATGGTAAATCAGTTTTGTCCTGGGGTATCTCTCCGTACCTACCAGCGTTATGGTAAATCAGTTTTGTCCTGGAGTATCTATATGTAACTACCAGCGGTATGGTAAATCCGTTTTGTCCTGGAGTATCTCTCCGTACCTACCAGCGTTATGGTAAATCAGTTTTGTCCTGGAGTATCTATATGTAACTACCAGCGGTATGGTAAATCAGTTTTGTCCTGGGGTATCTATATGTAACTACCAGCGGTATGGTAAATCAGTTTTGTCCTGGAGTATCTATATGTAACTACCAGCGGTATGGTAAATCAGTTTTGTCCTGGGGTATCTATATGTAACTACCAGTGGTATGGTAAATCAGTTTTGTCCTGGGGTATCTCTCCGTAACTACCAGCAGTATGGTAATTCAGTTTTGTCCTGGGGTATCTCTCTGTAACTGCCACTGGTATGGCAAGTAAATTTTGTAGTAATTTTATTTGTTCTTGCCCTATCTAGGTGATATTTGGGGTTTCTGTATTATTTGCTAAGGTACGAATTATCTTGTTCTAACACTAAACCACCAACAAATTAACAAGAGCACATTTTGTTTCAAATTGGCCAAAGAAAAATCTCAAGTTCAGCTATTTGTCCAGCTGCTCGATTAATTTACCCTGAAACTTGCAATTTCCTGGTCAGTTCGTAACAAATCCCATTTTGAAAAATAAATCCCCTTCTGAACATTGTGCAACAAACAGATGTTGCTTTAGCCACAGAGAATTTACATTATATTCTACAATAAAAGGACAAACAGAACATTCAAATTTAGAACAGGCATTAATATAACTATACAACATACCAGGAAATGGTTAAATATATAAATGAGGAATGCATATAAATTGACTCTTGTGAAAAGGTTTTTTTTTATTGATTGTTTTAATACTGAAGTGAAAAGTTTAGTAGTTTATAACACTTTTTATATTAACATTTTAAAGAACCATAAACATCACTACAAACAACAACCCCTTTTCCTTCAGATTGCCTCCTATTCTGACTCATAAAAAATACTTAACATGTATAGCCTGTTCATAAAAACTGTATTATAATTTTTTTTTTAAAGATGTTTAATATTTTTTTAACACTTCGATTTGTCAGCTCTTGCACTGTGAACATACTTCCCCGCAGCATACATCTGACCTACTCTTTATCAGTGGTTGCTCAATTGCTATCTTTTTAATTATTTTTTTTGATAACAGTCACCTAAAGCATTAAAAAAAAAGGAATTCTGGGAGTTATTCAGCTGTTAAAATCACGGGTTCTGATTTGCTGTTGACATTACATTGTCTTTAATTCCAATATAGTCACCTGTCAAATATATATATATATATATATATATATATATAATTTTTTTCTGTTGTAATATTCCTGATCTTTATTTTCACACCGGCGGGCAGAGAGGTAGATTTGGCCCTGCATTTGGTGGTGCCTGGAATCACCTTGCATACCCTGTTTGTACATCCCTATTTACTACAGCTTGGTTAGATTCATGCAAATATGTGGGAAATATGGTTTTATATAGATTTATGTAAATACAATTTTAGATGACAGAGTTGCTTTAAGTATATAATTCAATAACAATTTTGCTGACTGTGTGTGTGTGTTTTAAATTCAGCACTATATATGTACATATTGGCGCACTGCTTCACTGTAACAAATAGTGTATGTATATTTAAATATTATACAAATAATCTTGTTTTGTGCAGGTGCCCATCCCATCCATTACATGTGTAGTCATACATTTTAGAATCAAGATAGGCAATGTAGAGGTAAACTAAATTCACCCAATTCCACCCTAGTATATAAGAAACCTGGACTTTAATTTTCTCGAATAAAAAAGTGGAAAACGCACCTTTCAGCTTTCCAGTTTTACCTATATAGCTACTATTATCCAGCTATAGATTAGCTGCCAAACTTATAAAATTATATCATGAACACAGACAGAAGCTTGAAGATATCTTGTGTAGATCCTTAGGGTTCTTTGTGGTGTCTTTGGAGTATTTATCATAGTGAATATAGTTTGTTTGTCTAAAGAGTTCCCCCTCCCAAATATCCATAATTAATTGAACAATTGAACGTACATTAAAACCACCTCATTCTCATTAGATGTTTACATTCTAGGCTATATTTAAATGACAATGTATTTAAATTCAAGAAGCCTTTCTTGTCAGCAACTGACCATGAAATATAACGTTCTGCAAATCATTCTTTAGCCAGCATTCCTCAGCATTGCTATTAGCTGGCTTAGATCTCCTTTGGACTCTAATCCCTTTCTCTGGTTCTCCATGCCCATTTGAAGGACTAGTTGCAATATGTTCATTGCCTGGCCTGATACATGGTCATGTAGAGCAGGGCAGGTGGGGTTGCAGTGAGGCCACTGACAGTTGTCGATGAGATGGAAGGGACATCCACGCATTCCGGTTCTGGAACTTCTGTTATCCTGGAGGCTTTTCTCCCAGCAATGTAAAGCTCTTGGCAATGACACACTCTTGACCTGGACCTCCATCCAATTACTGTCAATAGAAGAACAAAGGATACTTGTATAGTGTAATAAATAAATGACCTCTTTGTTTACCTGTATTGTTATGCTATAATTTTGAGACACTTTCTCAGCCTCAGCATTGCTAAATGAGAGCATTGCCATGGATAAACGTGCCAACGCTCTCAATGACTGCAGCTCACTTGAGCAGAGCACTTAGTCTGCACCCAGTGATCAAATGCTTCCTCCTCCCTCCTGTCATGGGTGCAGTGGGCTGATGAGGGATATCGTTGATTTCCCCACTGTCCCAGGAAGGGACTCAGCATCTGCCTGATGGTCAGTCTGGACTTGCTGAACTACTTCATGTGTCTGGAGTCTGTCATATTTGTAACAGTTCTAAAAAGCACCGATTTCGGTAGAAAATTTTACTGAAATGCCTCCCCAGCTGTTAATCATACAGCCTGCAAGATTTTCTTCTTCTTCTGTTAGCTCCACTGTGCTACATACTGTACGTGTAATACTGACTTTGTGGATCAAGTAACCCAGAATAAATATAACTAGATAGATTGAATATGCCTTACTACAGTAAAAAAATGAGTTGCTATTTTTAAATTAACTTATGTATAATAAAAGCCTTCCATACGTTTAGAGCAAGACCCCTTCATGAAGTGCAACATTAAGAAATACACATGGTACATAGAAACATAGAATGTGACGGCAGATAAGAACCATTCGGCCCATCTAGTCTGCCCAATTTTCTAAACAATTTCATTAGACCCTGGCCTTATCTTATAGCTAGGATAGCCTTATGAAAGATTTAAAAAGTGCGCTGTGTCTTTAAATGGTTTGTGCATACATTGATGTGCTCATACTTATACAAAAAAAGTTTAAAAGTGTAAAAATAGTGATACACTATATAATGTATCAACAAAGTGATCAAGTGATACAATAAAGTGCACAAGGGGAAACACTTACATAGGAAACTTTAGAAGGGGACATATATCCTCCCAGGTATTGAATGACTCAGGTAGTAAAATAAGGGAGATAAAAAGAAAAAATATACATAGTGTAAAACTGTAAAAATTTGTGTAAAAATATAGAAAGGTAAACCAATCAACTCACAAACGTGGAGCAGTAGAAGTCTGCTCTCACTGTAATATCCCAGAAATACAGAATGCAGGACCACGATCGTGTAGGCAGGACAGCAAGCTGGATATGTTTCAAACCTTTATTAGCAGGAGCATACAATTAAAATCACGTTGGTTCCGTTCCTGTGTGGCCAGTCCTCAGTCCCTTAGTGAACTTCTGCAGTATGTTTGGGCACTGGAACATGGCAGCAGGTCTTCCAAAGGATAAGGACTCTCTTAGTACGTCCTGACGTCGTGCGTCTGACAGCGTGATGACGCGTTTCGCCTGGATGGCTTCTTCGGATCGCGTTCTTGGTCTAGCTTCTGTTAATTTATATCCATTCCATTGGCACATAATTAGCAACACTTTTAAACTTTTTGCGCACATCAATGTATGCACAAACCACTTAAAGGCACAGCGCACTTTTTTGTCTTTCATATTTGTATACAGAGTGTTTTTTAGAGCTATTTTTCACTTAATTAGTGCTACCTGCTTTTTATGGTATTTTTATTTTCACTTGTAAATTATTCACTAGCGCCTTCGCTTACTTGATATTTTTTGCACTTTGTATTCAGGATAGCCTTATGCCTATCCTACGCATGCTTGTGTTAACCTCTACCACTTCAGCTGGAAGGCTATTCCATGCATCCACTACCCTCTCAATAAAGTAATACTTCCTTATATTATATTTAAACCTTTGCCCCTCTAATTTAAGACTATGCCCTCTTGTTGTGGTAGTTTTCCTTCTTTTAAATATAGTCTTTTACTGTGTTAATTCCCTTTATGTATTTAAATGTTTCTATCATATCCCACCTGTCTCGTCTTTCCTCCAAGCTATACATGTTGAGATCCTTGAAAGGACCACTATAGGCACCCAGACCACTTCAGCTTAATGAAGTGATTTGGGTGCCAGGACAAGCTAGGTTTAACCCCTTTTGCTGTAAACATAGCAGTTTCAGAGAAACTGCTAAGTTTATAAATGGATTAATCCAGCTTCTAGTGGCTGTCTCATTGACAGCCGCTAGAGGCGCTTCCCCACTTCTCACTGTGATTTTACAGTGAGAAGACGCCAGCGTCCATAGGAAAGCATTGGGCACCCTCAGGACACTATAGTGCCAGGAAAACGAGTATGTTTTCCTGGCACTATAGTGGTCCTTTAACCTTTCCTTGTAAGTTTTATCCTGCAATCCATGGACCAGTTTAGTAGCCCTTCTCTGAACTCTCTCTAAAGTATCAATATCCTTCTGGAGATACAGTCTCCAATACTGCGTACAATACTCCAAGTGAGGTCTCACCCGTGTTCTGCTAATACCTCTCCTTATACAACCAAGCATTCTGCTAGCATTTCCTACTGCTCTATTGCATTGTCTGCCTACCTTTAAGTTATCAGATATAATTACCCCTAAATCCCTTTCCTCAGATGTTGAGATTAAGATTCTATCAAATATTCTGTACTCTGCCCTTGGGTTTTTACATGCAAAGATGCATTATCTTGCACTTATCCACATTAACTTACCTTTTTGTTATAAGTGTGTGGGAGAAGCAAGCTGGAGCAAACACAGCCCTGTGAATAAAGCAATAACAAAGTGTTTATTAAAGGTGTATTTTTATCTCTAGCCCTTTACCTGGTTATCCAGAGCGTGGAACAAAGTTCAAGACAAAAAGCATTATGTTGAAATTGTACTGTGAGTTGTTTCCCTGCCTATTGGTCTGAATTGCTGTTGATATCTTGATTTATGTGTCTGAGAAACCAGTTTGTTGGTGTAAGACAATGTTAAACATTTCTTAGAAGCGGGTGTCGTTGGATAGATGGAGATGTAGGTAAGCTGTGGCTGTCTGGTGCTTTATGACTGCCACTGCAATGCTTGCAGCTGACTATATTCAGAGTGGAAGACAAGCGGTTTCTAATGTAGAGTCCTATCTTGTCATTTAAAGGGATTCCATGAAAAAAATTATTTACAATCTGCTGAGGAAATTGTAAGTATAACCGACATGGATGATGAAGATCAGGCAAGGCCAGTGCAAGGATTTCTATTCATGTAGTAATACTTTTACCCTTTTCAATATCAACTCTGTTTTGCTGTTCTGCCTTTTCTGTGAGTTTCCTCTTTTACTCTGTATTTCTTTCCAGTGTCTCTGTTTTATTACTTGGTCACCTGTCTATTATCTCCTGTCTTTTGCTTTGCCTTTCTCTCCTTATTTTTAGTTTCTGTGTATCTACTGTGTTTTACTTTCTGTACCTCTCCTATCTTTTACTTTTGGTATCTTTACTGTCTTTTACTTTCCCTATCTCTCCTATCTTTTACTTTTGGTATCTTTACTGTCTTTTACTTTCCCTATCTATCCTATATTTTACCTGCTGTATTTCTACTGTCTTTTACTTTCCAAATCTTTTACTTTCCTTATCTCTCCTATCTTTTACTTTCTGTAATTCTACTGTCTTTTACATTCTATTATCTTCTGTATCTCCCCTGTCTCTTATTGTATCTCTGCTGTTTGTTTCTGTCCCTATCTCCCCCGTTTTTTACTTTCCTTATCTCGCCTGTCTTTTACTTTTTGTATCTCCCTGTGTTTTAGTCTCTATATTTCTCATGTCTTTCAATCTCTGTCACCCATGTTTCTATCTGTATCTCTCATCTTATTGTATAGTATCTTTTTTGTTTTTTAGTCTTTAAGTCTCTGTGTCTTACCTTCTATTCTCAGCTTCTTCCACGTCAAACTGTTCTCTATTTTTGCTGTTTGTGTATTGTTTAGTTTTTCTTTTGTGTCTCATTTGATGTGACTCCAATGTTTCAGTGTTTTTAGTGCAAGTTATCTGAGCCACTCACGTTTATTAATCCTGTGTATTGTGTCCTTTGTATTTTACTGTCTCTGTCTTCAATATAAAAGATGGCATTTGAGTGCCAATCCCATATTTTCATGCCCCACTTATTATAGCGAGCCACTACTAAGTTTTCTCTTACTATGTCCATGCCATCTTTTAATTTTTCTTCTGACTTTAAACCTGCCCTGTGTCTTACAGAAGGTGCCCACTGCAGTATTTTAAATCCCTCCTTGTCTTTTAAAGTTCCCCTGTGTGTTTGCGTACCTCCTTTTTTCAGTGTACTTTCTTTTTTCCGTTCCCTGCACTGCCCATCCTCTGCTACCATGTCCTTTATAATTGGAAAAAATGAACATATTGATCTCATCCGCATTATCTCCTTCCTTGGGGTATTATATTTCTTGCATATGTCCCATCTGGATGCTATAGAATGCTCAAAAAGCAAACAACATTACAACCCAATTCTTTAACTTATCAGGAAGAAGCAGATGTTGAGAGAACTAACACCATATGCACTTAAATTAGTGGGACAATCGGGACAAAACTTCTAATCTCACCAATTGGACCATAGCCATAGTACAAGCCTTGGTCACACATACTTCCCTGGGGGGAGGGGTGGAGGAGAAGGGGTGTTGCCAGTGACACAACTTCCATCATCTTTGGGCTCGACTGAAGGGGCATGTCAGCTTGTCATCAAGCATGCCAGGCTGACAGACCACCTTCAGGCCTGCTCCAACATAAAGGACCATGCAGAGAGCACTGCTGGAGTGCTCCATGTTTGGTCCAAGTGCCCATAGTACAGTGTGCGTGCTTCTAATTAGTCACTCACTCCCAAATGTGGGACACCAGGGAACTAAATCTGAATGGCAGTACAGGACCCTAAAATAAAGGCTGTCTTGTGGAAATCAGAACACTTGGGATGTTTGGGTACATAGCACACCTCCACTTTCAGTATGGCCATTCTTCAGATGCTGTCTGAAAAGGGGTTGAATAAGAAAATGCATTTACTATGTATTAAAATTGTATTCTGACTTTCTTCATAGGAAATGCTAAATAAAATAAAAAAATCGGAAAAGTGAAACATCTCCCTTCAGTTGATGACATCTGCAAGCGAGGTCAACCACGTTTTACTAATAATTCCGCATTGATCAATTAAACCAGTTACAGATAAGCACTGTAAAAACAAAATCAATAAAACAAATATAGCTGTACATTACAACCCAAGTGTCCAATATGGACATGCCTAAAGGGCAATCATCACATCCATGGAAATTATATAAGTATTGAATAAAGCATTACATTTAGGATAAAGAGGTATGGCTTTTTACACTCATTATATTGTTCACACTTCATACATATTTTCTAAATATAGGGGATAAGTAAGCATAACATAAAAAATCCTAGGATGTGTAAATTTCTCATTTAAACAAACTTACGTGTATATCAAAGTCAATTTGGAACACAAAAAATTCAATGACACACATCACACAAATATGACATACAAACACACCCCTTCACTCAAACACAAATACTTCACACAAATGTATATCCACATTTAACATTACATTCAAACACACCCCTGCAATCAAACGCAAACATTACATAAAAACACACCCCTGTATTAAAACACTAAAACTATATACAAGCACCAAACATTAACACTATACATTACACTATAACGCCAGTAAATGCCGCAGCGTTGTACAGATATACAACATAGAAATTTTGACTCTGGGTGCTTTGAAAAAATATTCAAATATACAAACATACACAGACACAGTCAGACACACACACAGACACAGTCAGACACACACACAGACACAGTCAGACACACAGACACACAGTCAGACACAAACACACACACACACAGTCAGACACACACACAGTCAGACACACACAGTCACACACACACACACACAAAGTCAGACACACACACAGTCACACACAGTCAGACACACACACAGTCAGACACAAACACACACACAGTCACAGACACACAGTCACACACACACACACAGTCAGACACACATTATTATGTGATTATACCACCTAAGCTGTTTATACTGGAGCAAGTTATATGCTCTAGAAAGTGTAAGTACAATACTTTTTATTATTTAATATATTATTAGTACTTACTTCACCATATTGCAACTATCTCTTCTTATATCTACTATGCACATTGCACCTTGAGAACATCCGTGGCAACTACTACGAATCCTAAGACGGTGATTGTACCGTCCAGGCGCTTCACAGTAGAGCTCTGTTATAGCTCATTCAAATGTGAGTGGACTGTACATAGCTATAATTGATTGTATTTAAGATTTAATCTACTGTATTGCACTATTATTTTTTATCTTAATTTTTTCCGAGGTTACGATTGATTGGAATATTCAAGGATATATGTATGCACTTTTTGCATATATAAATTACTAGGCGCGGTATACGCCTTCTTTTCTTTCTATTATTCACTCACAAGGTTGGGGAATCCTTGTTTTGTATACTGCTGCCTGATCACTATAGTGAGCACCTATTACTTTCTTTTTCTATACAAACACACACACACGAACACAGTCAGACACAAACACACACACACACACAGTAACACACACACACAATCACTCACATTAACACTTTTTTTTAACCCCCCTCCCCCAGCCTCCTTACCTTTGGGAGTGCTGGGGGGGGTGGTTCCTCTTTCTCCCTGGTGGTCCAGTGGCTGCCGGTCGGGCTGATGTGCTGGCTGCTGGGCGGGCGGCTGGCGAGGGAGCACTTCCTCTGAGCTGACTGCTCAGCTCCCTCGCGCGCCGCAGAGTGAGGCTGGGAGCCGGGTTGATGACGTCATATTCTGGCTCCCAGCCTCACTCTGCGGCGCGCGAGGGAGCTGAGCAGACCACTCAGAGGAAGAGCTCCCTCGCCAGCCGCCCGCCCGACCATCAGCCAGTGCCGCCAGCCCAGCATGTCTGCTAGCTGCAAGCCTAACTAGGCATTTGCCTTGGGCATTTGGGGGGCGGTGAAAAATGCCGCCCAAGGCAAATGCCTTGTTTGCCTCGTGGCTAATACGTCCCTGGGTCCATGGGTTACTGGCCCACATTACATCACTGTTAAACTGTTTAATCACTGTTTAGCAGTGATGCTTGATCCCCAGCAGCAAACAGCCCTGCCTCACGGCAAACCAGGGACAGCAGACAGTGATAGGCTAAAAATGTTACTGCCATCAATACCTGGTACGAATTGGCTATGGCGTGACCTGGAGCATAACTTCTCCTTCACCATATTGTAATTGGATGTTAGGCTGAAGGCTATGGGACACCAAACATTGAGAAAAGCTAGTTTTGTAAAAGTTATTAGCAATTGATTAACATTAATGTTAGAATTCCCTAAAATAATAAGAATATATAGTATCTGAATGTCAATAGTATAATGCATATCTACACAACATCAACAAAGTCTAGTCCAATGTCAGCTAATCCTGATCTTCTGCAGATCTCAGGGGACCACAGATGGTCAAGTTTACTGTATACCAGTGTGCTTTATTAATTTTTCATGTATGTGCATTGTTTGTGACTAGATATATACATCCCGCTTTTCAATGACCGATCTCTTTTGTCATCTAAGTTTAAACACAGAGAGGACAAGTGACTAGGACAAGTGAGCTGAATGCCAAAAATCTGGTACTTAAGTCTTTGATCTAAAATTAGGTTTATCTCTTACGGCACTTCACGCAGTGATTTCTTAAGCTCTCGTCCAATGTTCTGTATGTTGTTCCACTGGTTCGCAGTCATGGATCGGAATTCTGGCTGAATATTTTCCATTCTTAGCTGCTCCTCATCATACAGCCACTGAACCAGAAATATTGGAGCTACAAAGCAAACAAAGGAGCAGCAAGATAAAAAAAATACTGTATCAGTTGCAACACATAAGATAAGAGCTGTAAAATAAATATACCTGTAAGCAAACATAGAACAATACTGAACTATGAGCATCCGATTGTTAAAAGATGTCACATATGTATCGCAACTGCCTTAAGTTCTTTATGTTTGACTGGAGTGCAGATTAGTTCCATTCCTGATGAGTTTTTCGTCTTTGACCAATTAAAAATATATACACCTTAATAAGGTACGCAGCAAATTTGTGTCGTATTAAACGCAATTAACTTACATTTCATGGATTTATATAACTTGGGACCATAAAAGCATTGCCACTCATCCCCTCGGTTAAACTGCTCTTTACATTTCTCAGGAAGGACTCCATTCCAGAGCCTGTAAATAAAAGGTAAATCGACGTTTGTTTAATGCAGAAGGTATATATCTAAATATTCTTTTATAACACAAAACTAATATGTTATGATACTTTGCATATCTGCACATTCACATACCTAGTCTTGGAAGAATGAGATCTCTGGATTACTGGCCTTTACAGAGATTGCTTCCCAGCAATTTTAATATTGTGATATAACTTATCCTCTCTATTTAAAAAAATACATGTTTGTGTGGAATGAAAACTAAAGTTAATTGTAGAAACACACAACAGTGTAAATACTTATATCCTGGAGCCGAGTGCCGTTATCTTGATTCCCTATCAATCATTGTTATATGCATGTAAACATATATATAGTTCTATATTAGAGGAGAGGAAGCAGAAGCAATGTTTCTGTTTGTCCTCCGTTAATGCAACTCGTGTCCTGACTGTGCCATGACTAAACTGGATTGTTATGTCAATTTATAGATCGTTAATGTAAATTTAAAAGAAAAAAAAAGAACATTATGGGGAAAGTATTAGCACATGTTATGGGTGGTTTTCAATGTCAGTGTATCTGTATCTTCCAATGTACATGCATTTATGTGCAATTTATAGATGAGAGTAAGATCATCTGTTAAAATACCAGTTATTATCTCTTTAGCTTTGAGCTCACCCTAGCCGTCCTGTGGCCCATAGTATTATGGCTTTGTGTTTCTCCCACTGTCTCAAATGACATAGTTAGTAACTGTGTAAATAATTAAACCATTATGCTTCTCACTACAATTACAATAATTTTAGATATTTATAGCCTCATGGAGGTGATCCATCCTTAGCCCTCTTTGGTTGGAAGTGCCACTAGCGGGTTTTTGGTCGGAGAAGCTGGGCAACTGACCAGAGAGGCTTTAAAGATTGATGCTCCAATACAGCAAAAAATAGGTATTTACTTATATGTATGCACCATAAAATATTACACATATAGGTTATAATATATATAGTCTTAGGTTTTAAATAATCAGAAACAAAGATGGCAGTTTTCCATATATATATAGATATTCAATCTCAAAATGGAAAATGTGCAACACAGTATCAGTAGTATCAATACATTGATAAGCAACTTTATAGAAAGAAGTAGATCATCAATAATGTCAGCAAAGACATGGGCAGATCCAATTTTATACCAGGAGCATTCAAGTATAGAAAACCAGCCTCAAATAGTATAAATGTATAAATGTAGTTCATACTATTCACACAAAAAAATATATTAATGAATCTAAATATCATTCTTGATTAATGTTGCGCTAGGGGTGGGTAAATAGTTATTCAAGTATGGGATTATATAGGAAACCGGATCATTGGACTAACATAGCATGAACGAAAGGTCTACTATCACAAAGGATTTACATTCAGATATGGAACACAGAGAAATGCAGTGGAACAGGCCACGTGGTGTTTGAGGATGAAGGTTGGATCAGCTGTCACATGATGGAAATGAGCACCAATGGAGAGGAAGGAAAATCAATTAATAGAGGATAAAACCGGGACCACAGGATTAACTGTTTTATCAGACATTTTATTTTATCCCTGAGGAAGGCTAACATGAACTGCGTTGGGTGGACAGCAACTTGGGAATTAGCAGTCCTCCAGTGATGACATGGTTTTTATATATACACCATTCTAAAGGGTTCAGTGTCACCAACGACACTACCGCTGAAGTTATTTGAGCCTGTCCCCTAGAGGCTCTCATCAATATGAGTTTGATATATTTACAACTATATTGTGTATCTATACCATCTCACGGGTCTACACTATATTATTTTAATTTGTGTTTCCTTATACGCACTGAATGTCAATGTGAACCTTACACCCTAATTTGGAGTAAGTGTATTATTTTTTGTACTTTATATAGCGCTCCACTCCCTTTCTTAGTATAGATTTGGGTCTTCACTCACATCTAACTGATTTGTTTTCGTTCACTACAGTATATAGTGGGAATAGGAGGATCCCACTAGAGTGTGTAGCTGCTTTTCATTAAACTAAATCTGTAAGCGCACTATACACAGTAACCACCCGGTTTGCCTTTATATTTAGTTAAAAAAATTTCTATTTTTTTTTTTTATTTGCTATGTAAATGAGTGATGACTCCTTTTCTTTCATATACTGGTATAAGTGAGGTCTGAAAGTGGAATCAGAACAAAAGACAGTAGTAAAATCTTCGGAATACCCTATTTTATCCTAATTTATAACCAATATACTGTCATTACCACTAATTAGTATACACTTATCTCTACTAAATATCACAAGTAATAATCCTTTTAATGAGAGGGGACATTTTATTAATTGGTCATTTACGTTAATCCTTTTTTGATGGCATCGGTTACAGCGCACATGGTGGCATCTGCACAATCAGACTGCTTTGCATTTTTAGGGTCAATAAACCATCCAGAATCAATGAGACCCCGGACTTGGCCATTATCGCCAGTCAGCTCTTCCACCATTGCAGTCACTCTGTCAATATTCATCAGGACTCCGGCACCACCAGCACTGCAAAGCAGGAAGTGAGAAAGAGGTAAATACATGATAGGATTAAATTAATTAATCAGTAAGTCATATATTTTTTCCTCTGTGGTTACTTAATGATTAGATGAAGGAAGGCACTTAGGCTTTGAACGTGTTTGTCCTTCATAATCGAATTGTAATGCATTACACGCAATAGCAAATTTTCTTATTAAAAACTGTTACTTTATAACACAGGATATTATGTTAGACCAGCCACTCCCAAACCAGTCCTCAAGGCACCAGTCCAGGATTTAGGGATGACCTAGTTGTGTCTAAGGTGTTTTTTTTTTCTATAAACACCTTAGGCACAACTGGGTAATCCCTAAATCTTGGACTGGTGGGGTGCCTTGAGAACTGGTTTAGATACAACTGTGTTAGACTGTGGCTGGCCAATAACATGGTATGGTATGACAAGGAATCAGGGTATTACATGGTATATTTAATAAAAGTAGTTTTTAGTGTACTAGAGTACGGCAAGGAGGTAATCTGTGTTCTTTCTTAAACGTATCAAGCAAGTGGCCAAATGTTACATAGTTACATAGCTGAAAAGAGACTTGCGTCCATCAAGTTCAGCCTTCCTCACATTTGTTTTTTGCTGTTGATCCAAAAAAAGGCAAAAAAAACTAAACAGTTTGAAGCACTTCCAATTTTGCAACAAACTAGGAAAAAAATTCCTTCTTGACCCCAGTATGGCGGTCAGATTTATCCTTGGATCAAGAATCTGTTACCCTACATGAAAAATTATATCCTTGAATATTCTGTTTTTGCAAGTATGCATCTAGTTGCTGTTTGAACATCTGTATGGACTCTGATAAAACCACTTCTTCAGGCAGAGTATTCCACATCCTTATTGTTCTTACATTAAAAAAAAAACCTTTTCTTTGTCTTAGACAAAATCGTCTTTCTTCCAGTCTAAACTCATGTCCTCGTGTCCTATGTAAAGTCCGGTTTGTGAATAGATTTCCACGCAATGGTTTGTATTGGCCCCGAATATATTTGTAAATAGCCATAGTAACATACGCAGTAAATGCCTATTCAGATTATGATGCCTACTCAGTGTACTTTGTATTGTTACAATTACATCTAGTCTTCTGTATGCTAATTCAGGGATAAAACGAGTAGTGGGTGCATTGGTACCATGACCGGATTTCCAAATGGAAGCAGAGGAATTTAAAAAAAAAATGTTTTATCAATAAAAATAGACTGGAACTTCACTTGTTTTCAAGTATATACTGTTTAAAGTTTGATGAGAATATATATATACACACACATATACATACACATACAATATATATCTATATTTATTTTATCTGTTACTGCTCCTCCTGTTTCCCCTCTACTGATTATTCTCTTTTCACTTTAACTATGAGCCTAAAATTTTAAAGAGAGACTGTTACTTCCCACAATTTTTAATATTATATTTACTGATTCCAATATTTAGCAAATATGTATTTGTGAAGTGTGAAAATACAATTAAATATAGCAATACACATATCTTTATCCAACTAATTAGTTCATCTATCTTAGATACTTGTATTGCCTTTATACCTGGTGGTTGTTATGGGAACAGAGTTAAACTAAACAAGAAATTTGTTTTTTCAGGTAACAACAGGTTACTTGGAATATTCAACCAGTTATATAGCAAAGTCCAAGACTTACATAATATCTGACTTCACGTTTATAGCCTTTAACCAATATCACAATCAATATTACGTATGTACGTAAGTATCACAAGATTGCCATGCTTATGTTATGGACTCCAAGCATTCGGATATGACGTCAGTGTGATGTGTTACACTGGTTTTACAAAGATCAACATACAGTAAGTTCAAGATCAACATTAAGAGAAAGCAGACAGAGAAGAGGAGATATGAAACAATAATTCTATTTCTCCTCTTCGGTTACAATGTCTGCCTTGTTCGAAGTGGATTATGATGTCATTTGATAATTTTGTAATATAAATTTGAAAGAAAAGAGATCATCTCATGAAAAAAAAGTTGACAAACTATAGGTCAAGGGTCAGCAACCTATGGCACGTATGCTATGCACGGCACTCGAGGCTGCCAGAGCCAAACAGGTCCAAGTCCAAGTGGGACTTCAGATACCTGCTACGATCTCTAATCTCTTCCTCCCAGTACTTGTGAACTGGATTCCGCACTAGAGTAGAACAGGCCGCTGTAGCTATCGCAGCTCTTGCCCTTGGCCTGTACCTTGCCAAATGGGTCCCCACTGGACCCCAAGGAAGCCACCCACACTGCTAGATATACACAGAGCTCCAAAAAAATCCTCCCCCTCCCACACACACAATCCCAACAAACACAACACCACTGAAAATCTACATACAAGCTTCTCACATGCAATACCACAAGCAGCCCCACACATACACACATCACTAAACACAGAATGTGACATATCATTTACACACACAATTCCACAAGCAGCCCCTATACACAGCCCACATTCATAGATATCATACACAATATCACAAACTACTCATGAACATATACAATATAACAGCCCATATACGCACAAATGCAACGCTACAAAGCAACTGCAGCAACCATAAATAACACAAGCAGAACATACACACTCCAATTTTAAAAAATAGGACCGGCACGCCAAGGAACTTCAAGATCTTGTTTTGTCACAATACTAATAAAAGGTTGTCTACCCCTGACTATAGGTGATTTGCAGTATCCCATTCAATTGTGTAAATACAAGAGGAATTATACTTCCCTTTTACAGAACACAGTTTCAAAGAATTAATGTTTGTTGCTCATGTCTTGTTTTCTAAAAAAAAACATACCTCGATCCAGCCAGGATGATGACTTTTGCTTGCTTAATACCCCTTGGCACTAAATCTCGAATCACCTCCTGAATTATCATCGAGCCCATGAAAGCATAGTCTTCAAAATGAGAGAAAAAAAGCTATCATGCATCTTTTTTTCTTAAAGATGTGAGAACAAACATATAGTGTACTTTCATTTATGAATCATTAAAACCACCACTTTGGTTAAATATGTTTTTTGGTACATTGTATATTGTTAAATTAAGTTACTTGACTCATTAAATGTTAATCTATTGATAACTCTTATACACTAACACCAACCCTTTGTAAATCGACTATTTTCTTTTCTATTTACAATTCCCCAAAAAATTACTTTTATTATTTGATTTATTATATTTTTCATAAATAGCAACCACTTACACATTATGAATAAGAAGGTGATCAATAAGCACATTAATTATATCGTTATCAAAGAACACATTAAACATTAGAATCTGGTAAAATCCACCTTGGATTTATATTGGGATGTGGGTGAATTAGGTAGAGATCAGAGCGATGGATATAATGGTGCATAACAAGGAACAATGGAAAGAAGTTAGTGAGGTCAGATGATTTGCAATAAGCAGGACAGGCGAGAAGAAGGTTGGATGAGGTCAAGAGGAAGACCAAACTATAGAGGACCAAGGAAGCTGCTGGATGGTACTTGACTATTTGGTGACTTAAATTGACTGCGGCAGTACTGAATGCTGCTAGGGTTAGGGAAAAGTTAGGGAATAGTATGCTGAGTTAGAGTAAACAATTGGTTAGACTATAGAATGAAAGATTAAAGATCGATTGGGAAGTAGCATAAGAGGTAAGGATTACAGAGTGGTTAAAGTTAGGAAATATACCATAACAGGTTAGGACAATGGGGCTTGCTCCGGAGGGCAGACTTTTCACTCCAGCACATCACCAGTCCTGTTCAGTGCCTTGGTGTGATATTACATCCCATTGAATAGGAACAAAAACAAATGATAGAATGTCAGAAATCAGTCAAATTGTTCAATGTGTTGTATATAAATCAACACTAAACCACTTTGGCAATATAATCTGACACTGGAGGCTTTATTTAATAGTAAAAATAATATGCTCTGTGATGTGCAAAATCATTATGGAATAATACATACCGCTTTGTGATTTAGATACGTTCCCACTCCAGATATCACTAGAGCAGTAAGGCACAAACCTAAAAAAAACAGAATTGTATCATTTTATACATAATGAGATAAAAGGGATAATAATGGACTTATGTCATTTAATGGGTTGGAGCAAGATGACTAACTAGACTGAATTTATTTTTCCCAACTGACTACAACAAACCTTTAATCATTTGTTTGCTGTGCATAGGGATAGATTACTTTAATACTAGTTTTTAGTTGTTTACTAAACGGATAAAGTGAAAATGGAGCTGGCCAATAATGACCAATGGGCCATTGCCAGTAAATATGTGCCTAGGGCAAGGGGGAAATAATAAAAGGTCAAAGGACATTGACGTAGGGGCTATGAACAAGAATAACACAAAACAGACCAATGCGACGTTAGAAACTGTTTGTGTCCGAGTTTTAGACTTGACTTGAGAATACTTATGTATATCCTGTGTATGTGTGCGTGTGTCTGGATATAAATTGTATATAATAAGAGTAATAATAAAATATATATATATATATATAAAAAATATAGGTAGTGTATACAACTGTCACAGTGCACAAATATTGGGTTTTACCGAGCAATTCCTACAAATTGCTTTAATACTGTGTAGAATATTTTGGCACTTGTTGACTCATTTCTTATAATTTGATGCTCATGCATCTTGGAGAAGAAAATGTAGTTGAGACTCACACAGCATTGAGATTCCACCAGTGAGGATTTTCACTATGTTTAGCTGACAGAATTCCTGTACCTGCCAATAAAAAATATTAGTAGAAAATTGGATAACCTTTCAAGAAAGAAATCACATATGGATATTTGTTATTGAGCTACATTCCCCACAATTCTCTGTCATTTGCCAGAGGTGAAGTTTGGCCTGTACTTGTGGGTCATTGACAGGGTATTTATGATTCCAAGTGATTTTTATGTGTTTATCGTCTCTCTCACTTATAACCTCTCTCGGTCCCCCCATTTTTTGTTCTGTCTGTGTTACTCAACCATAGGGAAAAAGAAAATCCTTGCAACTCAGCTACGCTCAGAGTTTGGTTATTTTAGCCTGAACTTTGCAATTCGTTTTTTTATGCAGTACAATTCAGTGGTGAGTAGAAAAGCACCCTTTCCTTTAACAAAATGCATTGAGTAGATAACTAATAAATACAATATAGGTGGCTGCAGACACTGGTTTTTAATCAGAACCAGAATGACCCTCTGTGATCAAATAGTCTAGTATAGAGTGATCTGAATCTAAGAGCCATGTGTTCCACAGCTTTAAAATGACAAGAGCAACAAAAGAGACTACAATTTTGTGACCCATTGTTATGTGATATCACACTATAAAGGTTTGTATTCATATTAATCAAAGTTGTAATGTTACTATATGTGGCAGAATATACTGCCTAGTTCATGTGTTTCCCTTTTCGTACGTTCGGGAGTTATATTTTCTGGACACCCTGCTTTCGACTCCCGAGGACACCATACTTCCTCTTATACAGATCCAAGTTCTTGCGTTCCACGCAGGCTCCATCATAGTTTACTGTGAAAGAGCTTAAGTTATGGCCACCTACATGCTTGATCATGGATATGTGAGATGTCCATTGAACATAATGGAGCACTGGGATTGGGTAAACCATTGGTTTTACGTTTACATGATCAACTGACCACTATGCATAGTTTTGTGAGTAAGCTGATGATGTGTTTCAAAATACAAAAAAAATATACAAACATACAATGGATGAGAAGTGGCTCAACACTTATGTGAGGGATCCCCTTAACCCCCACAATAAATGAAACACACAAAAAAATGTATAAGCGGAGCTCTAATATACCTGGGTACTATATAGTTGGTGGATAGCAAGCACAAATCTGTAAAGAATACAAAACAGTACAATAGTGCAGATAGAATGGACTATAATAGAAGGTATGGGTGAAGAATATTGAACTCACAAGGAGTGAGCCAATAAGTCACCTGGCTCTAGTGTAAAGTGCTTCTGGATCCTGTAGGGAGATACACAGCCCTCCTGTGGATCCTTGTAATCTGGTGGCCGTCAGTAGGGAAAGTCAGGAAACTTGAGGGTATTAGAAAATAAGTACATTTATTAAATAAAATAAAACACATAAACTAAACTCTGATTGAATGATCAATAGACTTAAAACTAAATGGTAATTCAGTCCAAAAAGTGTTTCACCATAAACTGGATTCCATAAATTATAAATCATCCACCTCAAAGTAATCCAGAAGGAAGAATGAGAAACAAACCTGAACAGAGGTCAGACAAACAGAGGAATACTACAAGACGACATGAAAATACCAGACGCTACAGCGAGGTAGTCACTAATCCTTCAAAAAAATTACAAAAATCAAGACAGAACACATGTTCCCAATGCTTCCTCAACTAATAGATATGAGATCCAAGGCTTGGGGCTCTCTGGGAAAATGCCAAAGGTCTGTAGAAAAATGAGAAATAGAAGAGACAAGACCCTTTAACAAAGAGAAGAGAGGAAGGATGTAGTAAGTAGAGGCAGATTCAACCTCTCCAACCAAACACTAGAACGAGATTAGCTTGAGATTCTTAAGAAAGGCTTGAAATTTGCTCCAACTTTTGATTTTTTTTTTATACATCTTAATCGTTTTATAAGACAATGATTTTTTTTTTTTTTAATAAAAATGAAATAACACATACAGATACTACAACCACATATATACATAGCAATCTAAAATAAAAATCTAGATCTTTCCCAAAAAATATGATCTCCCAGGAATTAAAACATTTAAGACAATGATAATGAAGGAAGTTAATAAAATTAAAACAAAACAAATAAATATAAAAAAAAAAAAAATATTTCCCAAACAGAAACAAAAGCCCTGAGGAACCTACAAAAAAATGACGACATTGTAATAAAACCGACTGACAAAGGGGAAGGAGTCGTGGTTTTATCAAGTGATAATTATGTAAAAGAAGCAGAGCGACTCCACCTAGATGAGATTACTTACAAAAAACTAAAATCCAACCCCAGTGAAGAAATATTTAAGAAATATATAAGTGAAGGTTTGGAAAATAATATTTTAACAGAGCAGAAGCCAAATATCTATCTATTTTAAATCCCAAGATTCCTGTTTTTTATTACCTGCCCAAGATACATAAAAACCTAACCAATCCTCCTGGCAGACCAATTATTTCTGGAGTAGATTGTATCTCGTTGAGAGTATCTGAGCATATTGATACACTACTCCAACCAATATTAATAAAAAATCCATCTTATTTGAAAGACACAATTCATGTACTACAATTACTTGAAGGTATTAAATGGAAGGATCATTTCATATTGGTTACATGTGATGTAAGTTCCCTTTACAGTATCATCCCACATAATAAGGGAACAGAGGCAGTTAAATATTTTTTAAACAAATCGAATTTTAAAAAAGAACAAATAGATTTTATTATTAAGGGTATTTTTTTTAATCCTCACGAACAACTTTTTTTGGTTCAAAGACAGTTTATTTTTACAGATCAATGGAACGGCAATGGGAACCAAGTTCGCATTCAGTTACCCCAACTTATTCATGGTGTACTGGGAACCCAGTCTTTTTAATTCCTTAACCTACCTGAATATGAACGACATGAGAATTATCCTAACATCCACAAAAAACAAAAAGGAAATAAACTTTTTAGACCTCACTATATTTATAGAGAATGGTGCAATACACACAAACAAACTTTTTTAAAGAGGTCAACTCAAATGGTTATATAGAACTTTTTTAAAGAGGTCAACTCAAATAGTTATATAGACCTAAAAAATTGTCACTACACTTACTAACGCACCAAACAGCCAATTTATGCAAATAAAAAGAAACTGTACACAAGAGAAAGATTTTTTACGCCAAGCTGACATAATCAAAGAACAGTTCACTGAGAAAGGGCTATAGAGAAAATGATTTGCAAAAACTATGGAAGAAGTTAAAAGGATGGAAAGAAAAGACAGAGTAAGGATTTTAACAAAACAGAGATCCAGTTCATTTGCAACTTCTCCGCAAACAATAAAAAAGTACAGAATGCCATCAACAAATATTGGTATTTTCTCTCTGATGATCCAATTCTTAAGAGCATACTACCAAAAACACCCAAGATTGTATATAAGGGTTGTAGAAATGTGAAGAATATGTTAGTCAAAAGCAACTTCAAAGACCCATCAAAAGGTTTTTATGGGTGTGGAGGTTGTTTTGCATGCAGGAGATTTGAAAATGAAATTTATTTTCAATTTTAATACATTACTCCCCATGGTTTGAATTTAGATTTCGAACTATGTCACTTTTTAACTTAACCTTTTATTTATTCTTTTATTCATTCCTTGCTTTTAAACGTTAAATCATTTTTCTAGGCCTTTTTAAAGAACTAGTTTTTTTAAATAGAATTTTTTTATAAATATTCCTAGCCATTTTTATATTCTATTTCCTCTCCAGTTTCTAAAGTGTGACACACATTGATGGTATATCATAATGTGGTCTCATCTCTCCCTTCATTGTCTACCTCACTTTAAAACAGCCCTTAAATGTATTTGTTTTGTTCCAAGTATTCATATATGCATTTTTATGCACTCCATAATACTCCATGTATTCTATCAATATCTTATTTTTTATGAAAAATGTATCAAATTGTGTGTATTATAATAATTCAATATCATATAGTGGTCTGAATTCCCGCTCCATTATGTATGCAATATCTTATTTTTAATGAAGTGCTTGTATTTATTATTCCTTAATATAGTACTCATATATGTTGTTTTACATACTCTACAAGCATCTTATTTTATATGGTACATGTATGTGATTCTATCTATCTGGTTTGTATTTCCTTTATTTTATCTATGAATTCTTATGCTGCATTATGAACTTTCAAATGGAACACATATGCGTTCCACACATAACATTGTAATCATTTGGCAGGCACTCCCGCTGAAGAAGCACATCAGTGGAACGCAGATGTGCGTTCCATAAAGAAGGAAGCAACAACATGGACTGAAACGCAGACCGTGTCCCTCCGACCCACATGACTGGATGCCGGACAAAACGTGCTATCCAATAGACAGAACGTGCATTCCATAGAATCAATTTCCAGGAACACAAATGCCGGCGATTTCTCAATCAATACGGTATAAAAGATGGAATCTCCAAACTCACACTATTCACCAACTGAGGAAGCCAGTTTCTGGTGAAACTCATTTTGGACTGAATTACCATTTGGTTTTAAGTCTATTGATCATTCGATCAGAGTTTACTTTATGTTTTTTATTTTATTTAATAAATGTACTTATTTTCTAATACCCTCAGGTTTCCTGCCTTTCCCTACTGATGACCACCGGGTTACAAGGATAAGGAAGAGGGTTGTGGATCTCCCTAAAGGATCCAGAAGCGCTATACACTGGAGCCAGGTGACTTATTGGCTCTCTCCTTGTGAGTTCAATATTCTTCACCCATACCTTCTATTACAGTCCATTTTATCTGCACTATTGTACTGTTTTGTATTCTTTACAGATTTGTGCTTGCTATCCACCAACTATATTTGTCTCTAACTATAGTACCCAGGTATATTAGAGCTAATGATGTCTCGAACGGTTCGCCGAACGGTTCGCGAACGGTTCGCCACGGACTCATCATTGAGTAAACTTTGACCCTGTACCTCACAGTCCGCAGACACATTCCAGCCAATCAGCAGCATACCCTCCTTCCCAGACCCTCCCACCTCCTGGACAGCATCCATTTTGAAGCTGCATTCTTAGTGAGCTGCTAATTGACTGAATGTTTGGTGATTAGTCCAAATTCCAAAATACTATATGAACGAATCAAGAAAGATGAAGAGGCAGGTAATGGACGGGTCATTTAATTTGTTTTTGTGATGTGGGAGTTCTATCTGTGGTGACAAAAAAAAAGATGATTAATGGAAAAGAAGATTGATGGCTAGGTGAGTCCAGTAAATGTCGATTTAATTTACAAATCTAGTGTACTGCAAAATATATAAATTTTTATAGATTTTGGTTTGTCTGGATAATTTTTCACATGGTAAAATTGACTTACCTTTCCTGGTAGGTGGCCATTCAGAGGAACTCATTAAACGCTTGGCACTCTTATATCTAACATCACATGTTTCCTTGCTGTAACAGCACCAACCTCCTAGTTGTAAAAAAAATATTGAAATTATAGAAAGCCAAATACACTGAAAACACTTACAGGTACATAGGCATGATATTGATTTTGAATGTTATTTTTATTTTTTTTCTGCTTTTACTAAAACAGTTGTTCAGCACCTTCTTTTCTAAATATTTACTTGAAGTCTTTTGCTTATATACCACTGACATAATTCATGTAATGACTAGGTCCAGAACACCAACAAGCTCAGTAGATCTGCACTGGGAGATCAATAACATTATGGGAAGAGCTGATACAAATGGTGGGTCTATGCCCCAGAATTACTACTAATTTTTCTTTTGAAAGGGTAGCTACTCTGAGGAAGACAGTGTGAAAGATATGGGAGATACATTAAGAGAACTCATCCAGGAAGTGAAGACCACCAAACTAATTTTGCCCTAAGATCCACCAATTGAGATGTTACATTTAAAGAGTTCCCAGTCCTAATTTATAGTGTTCCATAGGTTCTTTGAAACTTTACATTTCTAGGGTGATAGTACAGTTTTTCATTAAGTGCAAGGTCTGATAGCAGAGTCCATTGCCATCATTATTGCATCAATGGGTCATACATCTTTTCAACAAAGCATGTGATCGCTGTGAGCCTAATACATGTAGCAGGCTCAAAAAACATATAATATTTCATATAAACATCTTATATAACATGTCATAAAAAAGTATGGCAGTTAAGTAACAATTTATTTTTTCATTCTGTTATTCAGCAATACCTTCCAAAAATATGATCCATCGTTTATTTCCTTTTGCTTCTCTTAAATAATACCTGGGAGAAATAAAAAATAGAATAATGTTATACGATCCCCTATTACATGTAAATATGGTTGTGGCAGTGTTATGGGCATCTAGGCATAAAATTGTTAATTTAGATATGGACAGGTTAACTTGAGCTAGAATTGTATATGCACGGACTGCATCCATTCCTTACCCAGCTGTTGTACCATCATTGCAGGCTGCCATTGTGTTCTTCAAAAAATAAAGCTTCATATCTTCAGAATACTTTTGGTTAGGCTGTGGTTCTGATGTTGGAATTCTTGTTTGAACCAATGGGTTTACAATGGAAGGGTAAGTAGCATATGGTTCTTCCTTGACACCAGTTGGACCCTCCTCAATGTTCGTCTGCTGGGGTTTTCTGTTGCGTGTTGGAATCCTGAGGTTAACTTTGTTAGCACGCTTGTTTTGAGACACAACTTCTTCCATCACGACAAGAATTAGCAAGACTTTCAGAAACCTCTTCATTCTTACGGCTCGGCTGTCCTCGCTGAGAGTTAGTGGGGCAGAAATCCCTATTACAATAATATTCTTTCAAAATAGCATTACAATATTTAAACTTGTGATTTATCAAATTCTAATTTCATTAAAGCCATTGGTTCTTTTCTTGGAAAAGATAAAAATAATGGGGGAAAAAACTACAATTGAACAACTAGGTCACTATGTTTAAAGACTCTTGTGGGTCTACTCTGCTTTTTATCCTTCTGACATCAAGAAAATAAGTACCAGACATGTTGAGTAGTAGTAATATTATATGACTTAGACAGGAACAATCACTTCTCTGAAAGCTACACTTTCTAAATCCTTCAGCCACTATTGAAGCATATACTATAGTGAGGAACGCAAAAGCAGTAAATATAAAACACGTCTGGTGAATGCACTCTCAGGTGTCTGATTTGAGATTATCGCAACAGTGAATGTATACCCTGGTATTTCCGTATACATACATGTACTCTTGCACAGGGCCAGATTTCACATAACGTAGAGAAGGCACCTGCAGTGGAGGCATGTTTTCAGTACTTTATTGTGTCTCTTTGGAACTCAAGTGCGTGGATGGGGAGAGATAAATACCAGGAGCCTTGGCCAATGTCCTCTGTAGTTCCGTCAGCCTCCTATACTTGATAAAAGAGCTGCAGGAACAGTTATGGAGGGTGTAAAACTCTGTGCTGTCGCAGCTATTCCAGTCTCTGTGTGTGAGGCTGGACAGGAAGTATAAGGGATAATTTCCTATCTGCCCACTAACAGCCTCTCACATAGGAAATGCCTTGCAGGAAGAGCAGGGACAGCACTGAGTGATGCACATTGAACAAAGGACAGTGCTAAGAGACGCACACAGTATAACAACTTCTGCATCTCTGTTATCAATCATAGATGACTGTACTACAGAAGACACACTAGAGTGAATACTTTGCAAATAACCCTTCAAACTCCACAAGCTCTAAATATTCATTTTCTCTTACCCTAAATGTAAACCCCTCCCATAACCAAACAGACCCCTTCATTAGTCCCACATTTAAGCACTCAAAGTCTAAATCTGAAAAAACCTTTACCTTAATCCTAGGTTTATCTCCACTTAAACACTAAGCAACTCTGCCCGTAAACTGAATAATTGTAAACACTCGTTATACCACAACTCCTCTTCAGCTAATCCTTATAACACTAAACACCCCATGTTAGCTCCTCTCAAACCTTAAACCCCCCCTTTACTCCCCTCACTTCTAACAGTATTAATGACCTTGCATGTATTTACAGAGCTGCGTACACTCACTTTATTCACAGATGCAAACACAATACATTACAAGTGGAAATATACGCATACATAAATACATATGCAGTAATTGAAACCCAATTTATAATTTTAAGATATTTTATGCCTGTAATGTCCAGCTGATATATTCACAAAATTGACTTCATCTGCAGTTTATTTAATTTTATTTGTTTTACGTCTCCAACACTATCTGTGTAATTCATTACGAAACTGGAAGTCATACTGTAAAACACATAATTCAATCCAAAAATGTAAATGCATTCTTGGCTTCAGTTTCATATTCAAAATATATATACTGAAAAATATGTATATAGAATTAATAAATGCAACGGTGTGTTCTAACCTTGTCAATAAAACCCAACATTCTCAGATTGTGTGTGAACCCTCCTAAGACACCATACACCATGCCAGCATGAACCAGTAGATACACTCTACTGAACGTAACTACAGACGTAACAACCCAAGAGACAACATTCATGGCCTGCACCCCAGTAGGAATAAAACTTCTGGACTGTGCACAGGTTTGTGACTTTGGGCTGTATGCACCCAGAAACTGACATGCACTGATAGTATTATAGATAAGTGTTTATTGCCACCATGCCAGCCCTGATGTCATGCGGAGAAAATACCAATGTACTAAAATAGGAGTAGGCACATGAAGGGAACATGGGTAAAATCAGTCTGAGATTTCATAGTAGCTATATCAGATGGCTAGGTTGATTCACATTTACCATTACAATACATGGGATTTATTAACAAAACTCTAAATAATGGTTTACTGATCATGCAATGTAGGTTAAAATTCTCCACAGCTCAATGTTTAGTAAATTAACGTCATCTTGTTTGTTTCCAGATCAACATCCAGCGTTAACGACAGCAGCATGGGTTGGTAATGACAATGTGCCACTGATTTCATATTGTACATGTGCTATGCGGTAAAACATTAGCTAATAATAATAGTTAGATGGAACACTACAAGGTACAATCCATTCAGACTCTGATCTTTTACCATTCTTACCATCACATGGCTTCCATTTGTGTAGTACTCAACGGGGATTGTGGGGAGGGTTGTGACGACTGCATATGAATTTCATTAAATTAATTGAGAGATCAAACAATACCAAGGGTCTGATTTTAATTTCAGGCAAAGAAAGAAAAGAAAATAGCTCTTTTTCTATATGTTTTTGCTCAACAATGTTAAATATTCACAATGTAAATGTGTTTTCTTTGTCTATGTTTTTTTAAAATAATTCTTTATTTAGAGTGTAAGCATTGCATCAGAAAGGGGGTGCTACAACATTGTTCTTTAAATGCCTGCATATTTTTACATCTTACAATGTAAAGAAATTTGACATACATTTTTTTTAAAGTTAAACAAAATTGAAAAAGCTAGAGGTGAGCAAGTCAGTATGTAAAGATATTCTCATGTTTACCCAGGGACTCTTGAACATTACTAGACGTATAACTGGTAAACATATATAGCCAGAGCTATATCTATAACTGGTAAACATATATAGCCAGAGCTATATCTATAACTGGTAAACATATATAGCCAGAGCTATATCTATAACTGGTAAACATATATAGCCAGAGCTATATCTATAACTGGTAAACATATATAGCCAGAGCTTGTTTTAATTTTTACCTTAGGCAGCGGCATAGCGCTCTGATACACAGCCTAGCACCTCCTCTTTTTTAGAGCAGGGGGTCATTATAGTGTGTTGAATCTATGTATGCAAGCTATATATACAAAGCTTTATTTTCGGTTGGTGAAAGTTCCTCTTATGTCATGGACCCATTTGACTTAGAAGCATAGAAAAATAAAAGCGAATAAAATGAGTTAAAAAAAAAAAGTTAAGATACTTAATACAAACTACTAAATCCTAAAGTGTCAACCCCATACAAGCATGCCTCCTGTCTATTTTCCGCTATATTGCTCCCATAGTGCTTAAACTTTGTGAAATGTGGACTGAGTGTTTCTAACCTTTGATTTTTAAATAACCTGTACTGTCAGTGGGACCTCAAGGTTCAAGCCAAGCCTGTGCAACTGCTCATCGTGCTTCCAAACTAAGCATATTAAGAAGCCTTGCTCCCTTGTGGGCATACCTTCTATGGTGTTAAGGATATACCGTATATTCTTCAAAAAAAATAAAAGAACACTCCAGTAAAAAAAAAAATTCTTGCTAAAGAATGCATGCTTGTATTTTTCCTGCTTAATTTTCCCATTAAAAAAAAACAAAACAGTTTGCAAAAGCTGCAGCCCTTGCAAGCGCCTCCCCACCCCCCATATCCATAATATACACTCCCCACACCCATAGTACAGCTTATTGAGAAGGCAGTTGTGCACTAGCCTCAGTCCACCCACCATTTACAGGTGTGGAAGTAGGGGACGAAAGCCGTCCTGGCTGTGTGATTGACAGCCAGGGCAGTGTTCCTGCACCCAATTATAAAAGTGAAGTGTTTTATGTATCTGGAGTGTTCATTTAAAATATATATCGGTCATAGCTGAAGGCAGACAGGATGAATGTAGGATGTAGTGAGGTATGTTCACTAAACAGAGTTTAGCCGAAAGCATACACAGGTGTAAAATGTGGCCGATTCTTTATGAAATGATGTCAGTTTCAAATTTTAGGCCCAAATCCAAATTAAAAACATAGATGATTGCAAGAATAAATATTCCAGGAAGTGTGTTTGTGTCTGCACTTTGCTCTGTACAGGTTATTCATGTAGTTAAGCTACCCATTCTATCTTCTCAGATCAAACCCTGCAACAAATCACAGGTTTGCCTGGTAAAAGATGGCACAGAGGGCACGCAGCTCTGCAGACAGAGGGTGGATGAACCAGCCCGTAGCTCTGCAGTGAGTAAGTCTAAGGATACACGGTTCATTATCAGCGGAGGCAACAAAAGGGTGGATAAGCAGCAGGAAAATTAGTGCTAAATATTGATACTAAAAAAAAATCTCCAGTTATTTAAATGTTAATAGGGATTGAGATAGAGCGCGTGTAACTGTTTTCTTTGGTTTTTATTCTAAATATTGAGTGCTCACATTGGAAAACTATGGATTCCTCCTAGTGATTGCCCCATTTTTGCAACCGTGACCCAACATTGTTCTTTACTGCACTTTCTGTTTCTCTGAAGAGTTTCCTTTTTTCTACATTATGTAAACGCCTCGTGTAGGTGCTTCACGGCTGAGTGTTTGGAATGTCTTGTATGCACAAATAATATAATATTTCTGGGGCAAAGTGATAAATGATGTGCAAAAACAAAGGATTTGTTTTCCAGAGAAGGGCTCATAACATGTTTATTAATGTAAAACCAGGATGTCTGGTTCCCACGTTCTAGCAGCTTTGTCGCAAATGAAGCTTGTCTCAATTCAGTCCACTTGGGCAAAATATTGCCCATGCACCAAAAGTTGCTGAAACAAACTGATACATTGTTACTTCAACAAAGAGTTTGGCCATCAACACAACTAGCACCTGGTGGCAAACTCAATTCTAGTACGTTTATCCGAAGATGAAGTGGACAATGTACCTCTCCATGGTCCGAGCAACAAACTCAGCACAGTGAGAGATACCGAGACTGCCAAGCATAACTACTGAGTCTCAGAAATATGTGACCAAGTTCATCATGGCATGTTTGAAATATATGTTCTTTATTATACAATATATCATATACTGTCAAGGCAAAGGTCATTGTTCTCTCTTATAGGGCCAGTTGCCATTTTAAAAGGAATTCTGGTACAGATCTGTTGCCATGATTAGTATCCTCAGCATCTAAAGCCCTCCTAAAGCTGGTTTTGGACCAGAAACTATAAAATAAGAAATTAACTCTTTGCAGCCAACTTAATTAACGCCCAGGTTAAATCCTCTAATAACACTGCATATCATTTGTAGAATGACACCATAAGGATTATTCACTAAAGTGTAATTTTTTGGGGAATTCCAAGCAAAGTCACATTTTACGCCACAATATCCACATTTTAAAAGAAAATCGCCAAATCAGCTATATTTTCAGTTTGGCTATTTTTGACCTTACATTTGAAATTCCAGTCTGAATTCCATTTTAATTCCAGACAAGTCACCCTTTTATAAATAAGCCAGAATTTATTGACTAGGTCTAGCAGTTTCTCCGAATTACAGTGATGTCTGCTAAATAATGAATGGAAAGAACCTTTATCAACATAGGGATTGACATTCCACAAATATTTATAGTGAGCCTACAATCAATCATGGTTATTTAACCAATGACCATGATTGATTGTAGACTCACTATAAATATTTCTCTTTACATGATTTTTCTACTCCGTATTCTGCTGTTTCTAACACATTATTTCCATATTCTATTATCCATCGAAAATATTAACGAAGCACACTCCAATTAATTTACCTTAATTCCTTTTAGTGACAGCAGTTTAGCTGAAGGGAGCACTGGAAGCACGGTCAGCCGTCAGGAGTTAAGTGAAAGAATATCCTTGCCTTCTGAAAGAGGTGCACATATAATATATTCTGAATGGCAGCTGAGTGACTCATTGATCTGTAAAGGGGATTAGAAGTCTACTGCCCTTCCTTCTCTGAAATGCAGGACATCCGCAGACTTCAAAGAGACATATCTAGGGAGTTTCAACCTCTGGAACACCAGCTGCCATCTACTACAAGCCTCGTCAAAAGGATGCTTCAACATAATGGGAGTTGCTGTCCAGGGAGGCTTGAATACCAGACATTGTGTCCAAGGCCAAGGTTAAGCTCCTTAGCACAATTTTGAATACTTCTTAGTAATACGCAGTCTAAACTTGCATCCCAAGGAATGTCACTCGTGGTTTAAATGTCCCTTGTTCAAGACAACCATTCAATGCATCCACAACATCTTTCTTTTAAAAAGAATCTCCTAGTAATTTCTATATAAAACTTTTTTTTTACTTTCTAAAAATGTTGCAGAATGGTAAATAAATATCTATATCACTAAGTGAAAAATAATTTTTTATTTTATTTTACTTCAAAGTGCACACATCCCGCCAATCACGGCTCCTAAGGATATTCATGAAAGTGTGAAATATCACTAGTTCCAAATGCATTCAGAGTGAATTTCAAAGTCTAGGCCACAATAGCCCATTTTGAAAAACTCCCCAAGTCAGCTATATTTTTAGTTTTTGATCAATTTTGGCCTATGTGAAATTACCCTTGATTCATATGGAATTGGCAATTATACTGAGTGGACAGCTCTGTGTAGGGAATTGTAAAGAATTGCATTTAAAGGATCACTATAGGGTCAGGAACACAAACATGTATTCCTGACTCTGTAGTGTTAACACCACCATCTTGCCCCCTGGGGCCCCTCATGCCTCCATAAATAGAGTAAAAAGCTTACTGTATTCAAACCTGAAGCTGTAACTCTGCATGCTGTTAGACTCAGAAAAACAAGCAGTCTGCTGACATGTGGTAGCCTGATCCAATCACAGTGCTTCCCCATAAGATTGGTTGAGACTGACAAGGAGGCAGATCAGGGGCAGAGCCAGCACAATTCAAACACAGCCCTGGCCAATCAGCATCTCCTCATAGAGATGAATTGAATCAATTAATCTCTATGAGGAAAGTTCAGTGTCTGCATGCAGAGGGTGGAGACACTGAATGTTTGGATGCATTTTAGGCAGCCATGACCCAGGAAGGATCTCTAACAGCCATCTGAGGAGTGGCCAGTGAAGGTATTACTAGGAGGTAATGTAAACACTGCGTATTCTCTGAAAAGACAGTGCAGCGTTTACAGCAAAAACCCTGAAGGTAGTGATTCTACTCACCAAAACAAATTCAGTAAGCTGTAGTTCTGGTGACTATAGTGTCCCTTTAATGTATAAATTGTACTACACAACATTAAATGCATCAAGAAATGTTATTCTCATTTTGTTTCATTTGACCACATTTGACTTTGACCTTTACTCAAATATTAGTACAATTATGGAGTCAGTATGCTATTGTAGTCAGAGCGGTATTACCTTCAACTGATGTATCCGCACGTCATGACTATTAGTGATTTCCTGAATATGTATCATATGCGGGCAGGGGCCTTTGTAAGCAGACAGTGTATTCAATTCCAGCAGCCATAGTACAAGCAGCAGAAGCCTCGTTCGGTTGAGTATTTATGATTGTAACATTTTATGCTATAGAATAGGATGGGTATTAGTAGTATTATTGTAGCCATAGTGTAAAACTGGAGACAGAAATCATGTATTAAACGAAGGTAATGATCAATGTATAAACTCACTGTAACAATTTCTGGAATGTCTTTGCTTACATTGATAGCATTCCTTTACAGAAATATCACCAAGGAGACATCCCTGTAATTCTATACAACTTCCAGACAAAGCAAAGAGAAATATTGTGTCGTTCTATAATTCATAAGCAGTGTTACACTTGCAGACTTACTAAAGTCCGAAAGGCTCCCACCCTCCCCCCGAACGGAATGGGACCAAACCATCCGGCTGCATATAGGGCTCTTCCGACTGCAAATTGCAGACATGGTTAATGGAATTCATCAATGTCCGGATTTTGTAATTCAGGAACTATTTGCAAATAGTTAAAACCACTATGTGGCGTAGAAGTTAAATGGTTTCTCCAACCCTTTTTTGAACCTGTGAATAATGCCCTATAGGCTCTAAATGAAGCGCTCAAAAGGTGCTCTCAATAAAGCCTTTACTTACCTTCATCTAGCACTGGGTGCTCGCTGCGCCTCATGTGATGTCACAGGATCTGCTCCGAGGTCTAATCAAAGACTTCTCATATAGAAACTTTGATTGGTCCATTCCTCTTTGCCGGGAAGGGGGAAATAGAGAGAAAAAAAGTAACAGGAAGGGCAGGGAAAATATATAATATTGCATGGGATAGCGAAGTGGGAGGGCTACAGTGATGGAGTGGGAATATCCTCCTCTTTATTTCTTAGGCCACATCCAAACAGCATGGGGTCTATTCTAGCGTCTGGGCAGAAATGGCTGCCCAGTCACTGTTTTTTGATGTTTAGCAGGTAAAGTGCTGCGGAATTTGCTGGTGCTATATAAATAATAACATAATAATATGCTAAACGTTTTAATGTTTAGCAGATACTTCCCATCAGAAGTCTTCCTTCTTATAATTCTTCTGTTCTTCAGCCCCAAAAAAGGACAAATAAAAATCCATAATAACCGATGTTATAAATTCAAATTAAAAAAGCTGCTGTCATTGCCAGTGAGCAAAGAGTTTTTTAAATGATCAATGATGATAATTTGGATAATTTGCGAATGTGCACCCTTCCAGGTGCATTCAGTTTAATTATCAGCCGTCATGCGGCTGTTGATAAATCTCCGATACCAGTGTTGTAAATTGATTCAGATGTGGATATTAGTGATTTTCCGAATTCATCAGAGCCAATGGTACAGAATCGATCAGACTCACCAAATCCTTACCGAATTAGGCTTTAGTAAATCTGCGAATTGATGATGCAGATAATTTTCTCCAAATTTAGTCCATTCGGGCAAAACCTGGTGTGAATAACCCTGTATGAGTATTTTTGGGTGTAACTTTGGGTGTAACTTCAGTAAAGTAGCTGTAAAGAGTTCACTTGTAACTCCTAATTGTAGGATCAAAACAAATTCTATCTGGATTTTATTTTTTGCGAGTACTGATCGTGACCAATACTATGTGCTATGGGGCCTCTTTAAAAATCACAATAAACGTATGGAGAATAACAAGACCCTTTGCCCTGCCGGTATAGAAAGGTCATGAGACAAATTGTCCAATATAGCATACTGATCTTAGATATCTAATATGCTAACATGATTGTATATTTCCAGAGGTGAGACATTAAAGGATAGATGCCATGCTACCTACACCTCTATTGAGAAAGCATAAAATTGAAATTATACATTGTGCTAGCAGATCCCTGTGAGATAATGTTAGATAATGAAAAACATATTAGTTATATCAACAAGAACTTCTCAGTCTCCCAGATGTATGACGAATTGATTGAAAGCGTAAAAACCTTCTCCTGTCCATCTACTGCACAATAAAATAGATTTTAGAACTATTAGATTTATGATACAAATTATGCAAAGGTCTCATGATGGCGTGTCTGTCTTGTATTATTATTATTATTATTATTATTGCCATTTATATAGCGCCAACAGATTCCGTAGCGCTTTACAATATTATGAGAGGGGGGATTTAACTATAAATAGGACAATTACAAAAAACTTACAGGACAAAAAATAGGTTGAAGAGGACCCTGCTCAAACGAGCTTACAGTCTATAGGAGGTGGGGTGTAAAACACAATAGGACTGTAATTTGCAATCAAATAAGGTGGGAGTGAAGCAGAGCTGGAGGAGAGACTAAAGTGCCGCCCTTTAGGAGAGAGCAAGAGACAGGTATGTAAGGTAGAGGTTACTCTGGGAGGCCATAAGCTTTCCTAAAGAGATAGCTATTAAGGCACTTCTTAAAAGATGCAAGACTAGGGGAGAAATAATACAAACGTGCACAAAGTAAAAAAAATCTTTCACTATATCACAATTAGTAAGGTGACTGTGCCTTTAAATGCACAGATTATGAATAAAGTGCTTAAGTGAATTGAAAGTGCATATAGCAATGTATAAAAGCTAAACTTCACTTTTAGTTTAGGATTAGCCCAAAGATCTCTGCAAATCTTCAATCAACATGTATACAATATATAGGGCGAATCCAGCTAAGGGAGACAAAATAGAATATAGTGTAACACTGTGGAATCCAATAAGGGGTTATATGTGTGCCAATGGGTCACTCACACTGTGTGTTCAATATACATGAATTCAGAAATCTTTGGATGTGTGTCCTCCTGGTTCTTGATAATATGGGTCTCGGTCATATGTAGAAATAAAATATATTATATAAACAAATAAGATGACCGTAGAACAAATGTGCAGTATAAAATATATATTTACTTCCACAACAGTTAAAAACAACTATCCTTTACCTGATGCCAGTTGTTTTTAACTTTTGTGGAAGTAAATATATTTTTATACTCCACATTTGTTCTACAGTCATCTTATTTGGTTATATTATATTTTATTTCTACATATGACTGAGACCCATATTATCAAGACTAGGGGAGAGTCGGATGGCGGTAGGCAGGCTATTCCATAGGAAGGGAACTGCCTGTGAGAAGTCATGCAAGCGTGAGTTGGCCGTACGTGTGCGGACAACAGACAGGAGGTGGTCACGGGCTGAGAGGAGAGACCATGAAGGGACATACCTATGGATCTGTGAGGAGATATAAGAGGGGCTAGAATTGTTCAGTGCTTTACAGGTATGAATTAGTACCTTGAATTGACTCCTAAAGGATACCGGAAGCCAATGTAAGGACTGGCAGAGGGGTGAGGTGTGAGAGAACCGAATAGAGAGGAAAATCAGTCTGGCGGCAGCGTTCATTATGGACTGTAACGGTGCAGTATGGCTTTTGGGAAGACCAATCAGGAGAGGGTTTCAATAATCCATGCGGGAAATTACTAGAGCATGGACAAGCTCCTTGGTAGCATCTTGTGTAAGAAAGGGGCGTATGCGGGCTATGTTTTTAAGATGGAATCTACAGGATTTGGCAACATACTGGATGTGAGGCTCAAAGGTGAGGCCAGAATCAAGAATGACGCCAAGACAGCGTGCTTGCAAGGATGGACTTATGTGGATACCACTAACTTGAAGGGAGAGTGAAAGAGGAGGATCAGTATTAGGAGGAGGAAAGACAATGAGCTTAGTTTTAGAGAGATTGATTTTCAGAAAGCAGGAGGACATCCAGTCAGAGATGGAAGAAAGGCAAGCAGTGACACGTTGCAGGACGGCAGAAGAGAGGTCCAGGGAGGAAAGTTATATCTAGGTGTCATCAGCGTACAGGTGG